ATCAAACGGTTATCTTACCAGTCTGCGTGACACTAAATCATCCAGCACATGTATCCAACAGCAATGTTCGCAGGCTCACGAACAATGGTGACGCGTCTTGACTGGTCTTTGAGATCATCGTCACCTCATTGTTGAATAGTGATGCTTTCTGACTGGTCTTTGTGATCATTGTCACCTCGCTTGTGGATAGTTGTTGGCGGGGGAGGGTTCGGGCAGGGGAGAGCGCAAAGAAATACATTGCACGTCGAAGTCGAGACAGCGAGTGAGGTGGCAACTGATTCGCGTGTCATCACATTCGCGGCGTATATGTCGATGGTGACGCCTGCTGACTGGTCTTCGTGATTATCGTCACAACATTGTTGAATAGTGACGCCTTTTGGATGGTGTTTGTGTAATTGTTCTCCCCTCGTTTTTGAATAGTTATTGCCGGGGGAGGGTTCTGGCAGGAGAAGCCAACACACGGAAGTCGAAGTCAAGAGAAAGGGCGAGGTGGCGTGGTTGTGCGCCACGGCCTGACTCGTGCATTGTCTCATTAGCGCCGTACATACATGTCGATGGTGATCCCTGCTGGCCATTATTTTGTGGTCATTGTCGCCACGTTTTGGAAAAGCCTTTGCCGGGGAAGGGTTACGGCAGGAGAAGCAACCATGCGAGACGTCAAAAGTCGAGACATACGACGAGGTAGAGCGGCGTCTGGCGGTCCCACCCGGCGGTGGTTGGGGTACGAGGTACGGAGTAGAGGCGGTCGATCGTGGCGGCAAGTCTAACGGCACGAATTCTAGATTATCGTAGTTGGTACGTACGCGTTAGCGATTCGATGTTACTATTATAGGAAATATGCATACAACAAAAAAGAAAGATGGCACCCATTTGAGACAATATCACAGTGGAAGGGGGGGGTTGAAGTCTTTTTGCAGTGAACGGGAAGAAAATCGTCTGGATAATGAGTAAGCTTATTTTTTGTCTACTTACGACTTACACCGAAATATTTTCAGTGATGCCAGCTAGCACTGGTACTGGAATGTTGTGTGTCCGAAGGGGTCAGACGCCTTGTGTTTGCTGTCTTAGGACATGTTATGTTATCCATTGGTAAGGTGTTGTTTGTTTTTTGTCGGAAGGGGATTTCCGCGTCCATGCCCGTATGACTTAATGCAAGAAGTACGGACAACCAAAAGAGAGACTCACTAGCAGAGCAGCTGTTTCAGGGAATGAATGGCGGGAAGCGGCTACGTGCTTCAGTATCTCGCGGGCAGGTTGTCCTGAACCGCAGACAATGTAGACCCGTTTGTTTATGGCTTGGGTTGGCGCCCTACATTTCAAACGAAAATGTCCGAAAAGATGTGTCTCTCGGTCTTTCTGTACCCCGGGCAGGAGGACACGCATTGTTGGCCAGCTACGCGAAATGCAAGGACGAACATTCTCCAACACTCCCCCTTGAGTCCAGTCTTGAATTGGTGGTCCTCCGGTGAAGTTGCCCATAAATGATAAGGAATGGCTGGAAGGTCTTTCCGGTAATAGATGAACGGCTCTTTGAACAGCGGGAACTTCACAGCTTAGCGCCCGCAGCGAAGACGCGTGCGTGTGCTTGACGTTGATAGGGAAACACGCAGAACAGGTCGAAAGCGTTGGTCGCTGTACCTTTTTATTCATTCAAGCAGATGCGAAAAAAGTTGATGTGTCTTCGGTTGTCCCCGTGTTATATGATTTGAGTGTGTGGTGTGTGCCCCTCGGGAGACCAAACTCACTCACTCGTACGACTGTACATTCACTCGTTGAGCAATGTGCTGCATCATCATGCTCAGGAAACCAGGTGTTTCCCGATGTCGGGCACGCCAGAGTTGGTTGATTGAACATCGCGATTCAAACCATCAGCATCATTATTGTATTATTTCATTGGCAGATTAGGACAGATAAGTAGTTTGCAGGGAATCCATTCATTCACACGCTGAGACCGGCTGTACAGAACCAAGTCTACAGTATACGACGTGCTGTATTTCGTAAAAACAGCTTACCGTGAGCAGACTCCAAAAGAAGGAAGTCGCGCCTGAATCTCAAATCAATCTTGACGTCTACAGGACCCGAGACCGCTTTCTATGCGCAGTTCGGTAGATGTAAGAGGTTTGAGGACGCCCCACCTTCTAGGCGCTCAGTTCGCAACAGCCTTTCATCATATGCACAGAAGGAGGGGAACTGACCAAGCTTATTCCGCTGAATCATGCAGGCGATGCCGACGACAAGCCGCAGGAGTCTGCTACGGGATTGTGGAGGGAATGAGAATGCTGTTGCAGAGAGAGCAGAGTGAGTGTTCGAAGGGGCTTCGTAGAATGATAATACGGAGGAAATCGTGATACGGGGGGGGGGGTGTTCACGGCGTCATATCGGCGCGAGCCCCCCAAGAAACAACCCGCCACACAGCACGATCCCACGACATCCCGCTCGGATTGTTCCATTTGCACGCGTCGTTCCCCGGATCAAGTGAGTCACGGTGGCGATATTGATTATGAGGAACACGCAGGTCTTCGTGAGATGTAGGTTGGTCCGCGTGCACCGCGCCCGGGCCGCTGACCTCGGCTTTTCTGCTCCCTCTTGATGTGCTTCAGACCATGTGCGCATATATGTGCGCTACATTCAAGACATGCGCTAACGCTTTTGGTGCTTCAGTTGTGGTGTTGAACTTGCCGACATTGTGTAGGAGGGGTTGCACGTTTGTTTGATACTTCTGGCGTGCCCTCCTACTGGATCACAGACCTTCACAGCTAGCCCAGCAAAAATATTTTCGATTCCGTCAAGAGCCGCCTCGCCGCCCTGGTGATCGAAGCTGACAAGAGTCTCGTTTTATTCCCTCGCCTCTCACGTTTGGGGCATGACGGCAGAGAGCCAGCGCGCGATCCTCTGCTATCGTTGTCTTACAACTTCTGCCTTCGTCAACCACACCCTCCTGGGAACAGCGCTTTCGACGACAGAGGAGATGGCCATGAGGAAGAAGAGCTCGACGCCGATGCTGGTAGGACGATGCCTCGCCCTGTCTACGCTGGCCGCGGTTGGGACGAGCGCCCAGAACCTCCCCGTGCCTCCCCTCCCCTACTCGTACGGGTCCTTGGTGCCCTTCATCAGCGAACACGCGTTGAGGGTGAGAGAAGACCAGCATTCTTCTCTCTGCTGTAGACTAGGGGTGTTTGTGTGTTTGTGCTGTGCGTGTGTTTCTTCTGGTAGCATCGACCGCGCTGACCCGGCTGGCCAACGGAAGTACTTTTTTTGTTGTTGCAGTTTATGCACATGTGTGGAGAGAGGCTGGCTCGGCTTGGCCAAGGCAGGCCGAGTGGGTGTTGTAGTTTAGTGCAAGTCTTGTGCTGTGGACGGAAGAGGTGGGTCCTGCTGAAAATCTGCCATGGAAAACGCACCAGAAAGATTACCTGTTGAACTAAGCTTCAGACGTCAAGATCCACAGGTCTACCCAAGGAAGCAAAGTTTTTTTTGGAATCTGCCACTCGACTGAACCTATTTACGGCTGCATCTCGTATTCAATGGTACGCGCACTTTCGCGCCAGTATCCATCGTGATACTACCCGACGAGCACGTAATACTTCCAACAAATCGTGCGTGCACAAGGGACGCACATTTCACGTACTCGGATGCACGGTTTCAATAGCAGTACTCCGTAAAGATTTGTACTGCGGCAAGAAGTACAACACCGCCGTTCAGTATGCCTTTGCCGTGGTCTACGGCTACCGGCCGTGGACACATCAGAAATGAAAGCCTCAAGCATGGTTGATTCGTGCTGTCCGTCCTTTTCGGCATCGACCTCTCACTCAAGTTTGCCTCTACCAAGGGAACAAGACCGTGCGTGAGCCCGGTGAAGACATATATACACATATCATTCTCTCATACAGCAGTCATGTGCATAGGCCCTCCATAAGGCGGGTTAAATAAGGCTGGTGCCCTAAATATGGCGGGTAAAGCTGGCGGCGCAAACGGAATAATCAAGTTAATCTACACATTGAATAGGGCGGGCGCTCTGTATCGGTCGGGTGAATCGGTCTGGCGCGTTCCCGCCCTATAGAGGGCCTGCGAGTGTATGTGTTTGTGTGCGGGTCCCCCCGGGCGGGGAGCCCCCCCAGAGAAAGTATCGTTTTAGCGCCGACGAGGTCCGGGCACTTTCAGCAGTAAACATCGGTACCCGCACACTCTACTACCTGTCCTCCTAGTTCTTTACGTTGGTTGTGTTGAGGAGTAGTATTCCATCCGGTTCCTGTCTGGGTTTGGTGTCGTTCCCAGCTCCGTGGTAGAACATCCGCCTCTCTGTGGTTTACTTCCTACTGCTGTAGGCTGAGGTTTGTCTCTACCCATACAGCAGTTCAAGCATGCTGCTTCCGACCGTGGCCCGTGGTTCTGGGTGAAGGTCTGTGTGGTGACGCACTGTAATTTCGGCTGCATTTTGTGCCGCTTTCTGCGTCCATGTACATGGCGGTTAACATGTGGGTGTGGGTTGCTGCCGGCCGTTCTTCTAGGAAAATGAGTAGTCTATGCACAGCAGCCTTCCGTCCTTTCTGAGGATGATTTCCACGCCCCTTGGTGAGCCCCACCGGCGTATTGGGCTATACTTTCCTTCACGTATCCATCATGCCAGGGCGTCCCTTCATGACGCTCTTGTTTCACGTTATTGTCGTTTGTGCTGTTGCATTCTATGGACAGGTCCACCACCTTGGACACCACGCCGCCTACACCTCGCAGCTGAACGCCGTGCTGGAGAGAATGCGTTGGGATCCGGAGCTGAAGCATCTGGCCAAGATGGGAGTAGACGAGCTGTTGCACAACCTGGAGAGCGTGCCGGAGGGTGAGAGAGAGGGGGACTTGGGGGGGGGGTACACATAGCCGTGCATGCCGTATTCGTTAGACTGCTGACCTCGCATCGCTACAAAGCCGGGATGGAGCACGCCGGGTACTCACCGGACCGGGCTCTCACATCACCGAGCGCGAAGCACCGTGAGGTATTCGGGGAGTCGCATGAAGGGTGCGCTTCATCCTGTGTAGGATGTTCTGCATCTCGCGCTTGCTTCCTTGCATGCGGGTGACGGCAACGGGGGAGCGGGGGGGGTGAATGATCGAGGGTAGCAAAATGCAGCAGCAGGGACGGAACGCGAGGGAGGCTTCTGCACGAAACACATAAGAGACAGAGCGGTGGCACATTGGTAGGTCTACGTCAGATCTTCATATTACGCTCACCCGAGAACAACGATTGGCATGAACGCATGCGGTGTAAAGGTGCACTGCTGCCAGATGGTTTACCTGCAACCTGAACATGAACAGAGCGTGCATTCGGCAGCACGCCCACGGCTTAAACCAATAAAAAGTCTGGCATTTCCCTGGCTCAGTTGCTTGTTGGCTTTTCTTTCGGCTGTGGTACGTCGATGGCTCGTTGTGTTTGCCGAATTTCACCGACGCTGAACGTATAACACCGAACCACTGCGTTTTTTTTTTGTGGTGGCCATGTCGCTACTGCTCCCGCTGCCGGGGATTACGGGTGGCGGTTATTATTTCTCGGGGGTTGGATGGATGGCGCTGTCAGACTATCGGGCGGCTGCTCGTCGGGCGGGGGGAGGCTTCGTGAACCACGACTTGTTCTGGAACGTGCTGTCGCCTTGGGGGGGACACCCTCCAGGGCAAGAGTCTGATACTATCCAGGTGGGTTCTCGAGAGAGCAAGAGAGCGAGAATCGAGGAAGTGTTTTTTTTGGCCCCATGTTGTTTTATGGTACTGGACGCGTGGTGTTTGAGTTCTTGCTCCTCCTCCTCTTCCTCCTCCCGGTCGTTTAGGAGAGAGTACGTAAGCCGGGCATCTGGCGGCACAAGGCGGCAATATGTAGCTCGCGTCTTTCCGAGGGAGTTTGCGGTGAACAATCCCAGCTGAATCTTGTCCGTCGAAAAGCTCGTGCCACGCGATGAAAAAAAGAATCGTGCCAAAGTTATTGCTTCACTTCCTGTTCCCGCTTGTTCCTGGCCTTGTGTACTGCCGCTGCCGGCGCCGCGATTGGCGTGTTTGCGTCTGGGATTTGTATCGACCGCGCACATAGGCCAGCACGAGCAATGTGTTGCTTGTTTCCAATGACACCATGTGTGTGTCTCCGTGTGTGTGTGTGCAGGAACGGCACCTGGCGGAGGCCATCGACCGTTCGTTCGGATCCTTCGCGGAGATGCAGTACGCCTTTTCCAATGCGGCGTCCGCCTTCTCCGGCTCGGGGTAAGCAACTTCCTTCCTTCCTTTCAACCCTCCCCCCCCGTTCATTTCGCTCTACCGCTTTGTTATCGGAAATTGGCCATGGGCTAGGTTCGGCTGCTGCTGCTGCTTCTGCTGCTCGGCAGCTGGTACTGCTTGCCAGCTGGTGCTGGTGCTTGTTTGCTGCTGACCATCTGCTGCTGCTCATTAGTCGCTGCCTGTCTGCTGCTGCTTGTCTGCTGCTGCTTGTTTGCTGTCGAGCGAAGGTCGCTGCCAGCTCTCCCATTCGGAGGGCTGTGCACACAGTTATACCACTTGCTCCCATGCCCCGGTCCCACCTTCTCGTGCCACCACCGTGGCGTGCTCACGCGTGCATCCGTCAACCATACACGTCTGTTGATTTTTTCCTTTGTTCCGTCTCTCGCTTTATCGTACTGCCGAAATGCAGGTGGGTGTTTCTGTACTTCAATCACGAGGAAAAGACCCTAGACGTGGTTGTCCTAGAGTACGAGGACACGCCGGCCATGAACCCGAACACAACCCCCATCCTGCTCCTGGACCTGTGGGAGCACGCCTACTATCTGGATGTGAGAGGCCTCGAGAAACCGAACATGTTGACAGGCAGAACGGATGTGGGGGCAGGGGGAACATGGCATTCACTCAATTCGTCGTGCTCCGAATATTTTTTTTGGCAGCGCGGGAGGCAACACGGATGTGGGGGCAGGGAGTGGGACTTCCGTCATTGGTTGTCTTTGCTGTTGTTCCATCATTTGCCAGGTATTATCTTTTTTCGTTTGGATCCGACAACCTTGAGGGAAGGGCGTGAAGGGTGAAGGAAGAACGGAGCGGGGGGGGGACTCGTTGGTTGAAGTTGAAACGAAGTATTTCCCTGTAGACATGTGCGCCCTATCGCTACATTGGCACATGCAGCGATATGCAGCGATTGGTGTTGGAGATCCACTTCTTTCGACCTTCCCATTGCCTTCTCTCACTCCGTCTCCTGCTTCGTTCACACTCCCGCGATCTGTCCTGCGCTCGCCCGCTCGCCCCGCTCTCACTTCCATATCCAATGTATCGGCGGATCACATCGGGAACCGCTGCTGTGTCCCCCCCCGCTGATCCCGCTCACGCCCCCGACCCTCAGTACGAAAACCGCAAGGACGTGTACATCACCAACTTTTGGGCGTCGGTGGACTGGCCGAGAGTGGCGACCCGCTACGCGGAGGCCTCTGGCGAAGTGGTCCCGGAGGCTCTGCCCTCCCCTGAGAGGTAAGCGTCCACCATTGAGCAACATGCTGCAGTTGGGGTTATGTCGGTTGTCTGGCGACAGGAAAGACACAGCCGGCCGGGGTGGAAATTTTTCAGCACGGCATTGCTGCTGCGGGAGGACAAGCATGAGCAACGGCATTGCCATCGGAGTTGTTTTTTTCGGTTGCGGTATGCCATCCACGATAGTATAGGAACGGTGGTGGTAGAGGTGTCGGGTGACCCTGGTGGTAGCTTCCCAAGGCGGGTAGCGAATCTTCCTCATAGGCGCATGATGAACATCAGAGCACGTCTCACATCAGCGTGTCGTCGCGGGGTGGCAAGTTTGATGTGAACCCCCCGCCCCCCGCTCACAATTCGTATGTTCTTAAACGATGAGGGGGGTCCGTTGACGGTTGCATCCCGTCTAGCCATCCCTTTTGCGTCGCTTCAACTCTCCTGTCCTGACCCGTATCGATAGTTTGATAGCGTTCCACGATTCTCACGACATAAATGCCTTATTACTGTAGCCCCATCCCATGACATGGTTTACGATCCGCGTTGCAAACGTACCCGTCATGTTCGTTTCATGTCTGATGCTGTGTGTGCGCGTGTTCATCCGGCACACCAGGCGGGAGAAGGGAGCGGTTGGACTGACGCCGGCGTTGCAGGACGCGGACAAGGCGTTGTTGGCGGAGGACTGAGTAGAGAGACAGCGGGGTGCAGAGACGGNGGGGGGGGGGGGGGGGGGGGGGGGGGGGGGGGGGGGGGGGGGGGGGGGGATACAGAGGAAAGCCCGGCTGACCTAGAACATGTGAAGCCATGCCTAATACGAGCGTGTTCCCCAAGACACGAAATTTTTCGTTCCTTGAGGTCATGGCAACAGCGGGTCTGGCGCCGATGACAGCAATGTGGAATAGGAGCACAGGGGGCGTGTTTGGGCAGGTTACTGGACAATGGGCGACTTATGGGTGCCAGAGGGGGAGGGGGAGTGAGGGCGGGTTTGTTTTTGATGCTCTTGTTGCCGCTTAGATAGTGCGGAAGAGGCTTTGCGCCCCTGATGCCGTTGTGCTTGTGCAGGCAACAAGTTGTTGTCGTGTCATACAACGCCCATTCGATTGTGTTGCAGGTGCGCGGCAAAGTGGGGAATGTAAAATATAATATGTTCTTTGAACCTGGAGAGAGAAGGGAGAGAGAGAGAAGAGATGTTCACCATCGCGTTTGCGCCTCTCCAGCAACCGCAGCGCACAAATAGTCTAGATTGGGTTAAGCTCCCTAGTTGGTGTGTTCGGACATCGGATACAACAGCGAGCCGATTTTGCCCCAATGCTGGAACGGGCGAGGCAAATGCAGCTGTAGTCAAGTGTTTTGTTCTACGAAGCACGTCGCATCAGAAAAACAGACCCCCGTTTCATCATGTGATGACATGATGCATTTTGTACCGATAACAGTGGCAAACCGCATCAGGGTGGCCGCCGAACATTTACGCCTACGGAGCAAGTCTAACACCTGTTTGTCATGAATGATGGAGTGAGACTCGCCCGAATCTACATCGCGAGGAGCTACTCTGGTATGCTGGTATATGCCTACGTGTCTACAACTATTCGACTAGACAGACGCGAAGAGCGAATGTGGTTGACTGCACACGCTCCCTAGTAGTTGCCCACCAGTGCTGTCAAGTGGACGAGAGGGAAAAGGAAAAGCGAGGGATCAGAATTTGGGACGCTACGCTACGACATTGTAGAGCAATATGGGCTCCTTGATTGGACAGAGATCGCAGAGTGACGAATAGAAAGAGGCATCTCAGCAAAGGCAAGAAGGAGAAATTCAAACATCACATCCAAGGATATCATAATCACAGAAAGATTCCCTGCTGTCCAAGCGGCTCCGCAGCGAGAAAAACTAGTAGGAGCCCCGATATTACCGCGTGTACCCCCCCCGGCTGCCCTCGTTCTCCGTGCGGCACGTCCTTTCCCACACAACAGAGAGACGAGTACCATACCACCCGATTGCGTACGCTGCAGCACGTCAGGAGTCGATTGTGTGCCACCTTCAGTGGGCAGTGAGTGGCTGGGCTTGGTTGCGTCGCGGAAGGATTGCACCCGCGGAAAGAAAAGGAGAGAAATAGTCGACCCTGAGCAGCACGCACGATGGCGGGCAGAGCTGTAAGGGCACCGGGCGGGAGCGACTCCCGCTTCTTCACGACCACCAAGAAAGGTAGCTAAAGGCAGCTTCCTTCAGAGGGTGGTTATAACTTTGCTGTAGTTGTCGCTCTTGGATAGAGAAGAGCTTGTTGCATGCTGTGTCGGTGGGCCCCCACTGCTGCTGCACGGATCGTCGTTTGTTCCGAGCAAAGACAGCGATATAGCTGTGAGCGGCGAGTTCTTACTTGTACTGCTCCCTGTTGAGTTCTTACTTGTACTGCTCCCTGTTTGTTGGTGTGTTCCACAACCAGTGTGTATGTACCACGGCAAGGGAGAAGGCAACATCTTGCATGCCAAACGGGACGTGCAGGAAGGAGCAAAAGTGTGGGGTCGACCGTCTTGCGTTGAGCGTTGCAGCTCTCCTTGGGTGCTAGTTCCCCGATTTGCTTGTTACACACACACACACCGTTGAAAGCTAATGCAGCACGTGTAGACAACCTGCAGACAAGTAGACTTAACGCTGCAGATACAACAAGCAGTGGTTACAGCAAGGTGGTAGAAATCTCGATTACCGGACGAGCAGTGCAGTTGGAGTCCATACCTGTGATCTTGGTCACTCTCGCAGGTTAAGAGCACCGTTCCTTTCAGTTGCGGACTTGCACCCGGTGTCGTGTGGTACCGACACCAACACCTCATGATGACGGGGAGGCTTTGTTATGCATCTGTCGGTGTGCCTCAACTCACCCGTCCCCCCGTCTCAAGCAAGAGCGAGACCAAATGCACATACCGTGCATGTCTGTGGACGCCTGAGGCCTGGATTATCCACTATCTGTTCGTGTCCGACAGCAGAGTTGCTCCGCGCACCCTTTGTAGCATGGCTGTGGGGACGAAACGCAAGCTTGAGCTTGCTTGAGTAACTTCTTCGCATGCTGGCATATAGAAGCAAGAACCTTCCCACGCAAGCCTGTACAGCCCTGGCCCACACCCTTCGACAGCAAACCTACTCCTTGGGGCGAGCTCATCGCCTAGGTGCAACCGAAAAAGGATACTGGCCCCTTTGTCAGCTCGGGTTCGGTGAAGCCAACCTTGCTGCTGTACTCAATTGCTGGCTTTGAGGCAAATGTCCACGTTCCATGCGATGCTGTTCCACGACACCCCCCCAAAACGATATTGGTGAGGCAGGCGAGACGCACGAACTCCGTCAGGAGCTCAACTCCCCCAACCGTGACAAGAAGAAGGATGCTGTCAAAAAGGTGGGGCGTGTTTGGCATGTTGATGAAAGGACGGAGGCATGATTGCTATCGCAAGTTGGAACTCTAGGGCTCAGCGGCGCTTACGTCCCGTAGGGATTGGGAGAAGTCAATGCTGTAGGGGGTGGAACACTCTATAAAAGCACATGTATCTGTTGATCGGATTCGGTACCGTTGTCGATGTTGATGGAGGGCTTGGTGTTACCCCACCTTTGACCCTCGTTGTTGTCGTTTGTGTTCGTGATTTTTATTCAGACGCTAAGCATCGAAACTTTGTGTTTTGTTTGCTCTCGCTGTCATTGATTCCCGCTTCATCGCCTTCGATGTTTCCCTCTCCATGGTTCCGCTCCTACTAGGTGATTGCCAACATGACCGTCGGCAAGGACGTCGCGATGCTCTTCACTGACGTCATCAACTGCATCCAGACCGGTGAGAGGAGGAACGAAACGAACGTCATAACGAAGTTGTGGTGGCGTGATTTCCGAAACACCGCTCAACGCCCAACCGGTATTTGCCCAGGACGGGGCAGAAAAGCTGTGAAGGGGTTAAGACTGCTGCTGTGGGCCCGGGGTTGGCAATTGAGTAGAACTGGTAGTGGTTGCTGTACCTAATTGAGAACATTAGCGTCGGGGTGGAGCCTTTTGTTTCGTAGACCAGTAGACGTTCATCACCTTTACTTCTGTACATCTTTCCGGTTCACTCTTTCCCTACCCCCCCCCCGCTCGCCACAAGAAGCATCCTCAGAATGGTCGGTACACGCCCAGGGAATATGCTGAGCGCAAGGAACTGGCGTTCAAAGCCCTCACCAGCGATGTATTGCCTTGGCTGCCGATCAAACCTTCTCCCCCCCCCCCCCCCCCCCCCCCCCCCCCCCCCCCCCCCCCCCCCCCCCCCCCCCCCCCCCCCCC